TGTTGTCACTTGCTGGCCATGCAAAGTAAAATTTTCTTGCTTCAGAAGTCCAAAGTGCATTGACAAATAGCCAATGTGGGGTAACAATATGGAAGCTTCCAGCAAACCATCACAGAGTAAAAACTCTTATCAGGGTGCTTTGAATGTCTTTGGGACCCTGCAGGACTTAAGGCCAGACACAGTACTGATAGAAGGGACAGGCCAATCTTCCAGTTTTTTTGGTGTGGTGCATCACAGCAATACATGGCACAATGGTATTTATTTGCTTATACAGTCAGGTCCATAAATATTGGGACATGGACACAATTCTAACATTTTTGGCTCTATACACCACCACAATGGATTTGAAATAAAACAAACAAGATGTGCTTTAACTGCAGACTGTCAGCTTTAATTTGAGGGTATTTACACCAAAATCAGGTGAACGGTGTAGGAATTACAACCGTTTGCATATGTGCCTCCCACTTGTTAAGGGACCAAAAGTAATGGGACAGAATAATAATCATAAATTAAACTTTCACCTTTTTAATACTTGATTGCAAATCCTTTGCAGTCAATTACAGCCTGAAGTCTGGAATGCATAGACATCACCAGACGCTGGGTTTCATCCCTGGTGATGCTCTGCCAGGCCTCCACTGCAACTGTGTTCAGTTCCTGCTTGTTCTTGGGGCATTTTCCCTTCAGTTTTGTCTTCAGCAAGTGAAATGCTTGCTCAATCTGATTCAGGTCAGGTGATTGACTTGGCCATTGCATAACATTCCACTTCTTTCCCTTAAAAAACTCTTTGGTTGCTTTTGCAGTATGCTTTGGGTCATTGTCCATCTGCACTGTGAAGCGCGTCCAATGAGTTGTGAAGCATTTGGCTGAATATGAGCAGATAATATTGCCCGAAACACTTCAGAATTCATCCTGCTGCTTTTGTCAGCAGTCACGTCATCAATAAATACAAGAGAACCAGTTCCATTGGCAGCCATACATGCCCACGCCATGACACTACCACCACTATGCTTCACTGATGAGGTGGTATGCTTAGGATCATGAGCAGTTCCTTTCCTTCTCCATACTCTTCTCTTCCCATCACTCTGGTACAAGTTGATCTTGGTCTCATCTGTCCATAGGATGTTGTTCCAGAACTGGGAAGGCTTTTTTACATGTCGTTTGGCAAACTCTAATCTGGCCTTCCTGTTTTTGAGGCTCACCAATGGTTTACATCTTGTGGTGAACCCTCTGTATTCACTCTGATGAAGTCTTCTCTTTATTGTTGACTTTGACACACATACACCTACCTCCTGGAGAGTGTTCTTGATCTGGCCAACTGCTGTGAAGGGTGTTTTCTTCACCAGGGAAAGAATTCTTTGGTTATCCACCACAGTTGTTTTCCGTGGTCTTCTGGGTCTTTTGGTGTTGCTGAGCTCACCGGTGGTTTCCTTCTTTTTAAGAATGTTCCAAACAGTTGTTTTGGCCACGCCTAATGTTTTTGCTATCTCTCTGATGGGTTTGTTTTGTTTTTCAGCCTAATGATGGCTTGCTTCACTGATAGTGACAGCTCTTTGGATCTCATCTTGAGAGTTGACAGCAACAGATTCCAAATGCAAATAGCACACTTGAAATGAACTCTGGACCTTTTATCTGCTCATTGTAATTGGGATAATGAGGGAATAACACACACCTGGCCATGGAACAGTTGAGAAGCCAATTGTCCCATTACTTTTGGTCCCTTAACAAGTGAGAGGAACATATGCAAACTGTTGTAATTCCTACACCGTTCACCTGATTTGCATGTAAATACCCTCAAATTAAAGCTGACAGTCTGCAGTTAAAGCACATCTTGTTCATTTCATTTTAAATCCATTGTGGTGGTGTATAGAGCCAAAAATGTTAGAATTGTGTCAATGTCCCAATATTTATGGACCTGACTGTATAGCAAAAAAAAAAAGAAAAACCAAGTGGTTATTAAATACCACCAAAAGAAAGCTCTATCTCAAAAAAATAAAAATTTAATTTGGGTACAGTGTTGCATGAGAAATTGTCAAAGTTAGACAGAGCTGAAAGCTTGGGCAGGAAGGGGTAAAAGTCTGGTTTTGAAATGGTTAATTACCTTATGTAAAGGTTTACATCCAACAAAAAACTGAGGCATGCTGGTAGTAAAGGAGGTAATCCCAGGGAAGACAGTTTTGTTTGTAATTTTCCATTGTAAAATACACCTGTAGGCAGCAGTATAACCCCACAGGCTTAAAGTATAACTAAATACAAAACTTTTTTTTTTAGTTATGTGACTAGAATGGAGATGGATTAGAACACCTATTATGTTTTTATTGCTGCCTGTGTCACCATTAGGAAGATTTGCCCCCTCTCTAGTTATCCTGTTTACCATTAAAAAAGAAAAGTAAAAGTAAAAGAAAATCTCCAAATTTTGGGTTGTCCCCAGAAAAGTAATAGAGGGAAAATCTTCCAATGGGGACACTACCGTTTCCCCCAAAAATAAGACCTAGTGCTATTTTTGGGAAATGCTAAAGTATAAGACCTACCCCCAAAAATAAGACTTAGTTGTGATCAGGGCTTTTTTTTCAGCCGGAACATACCGCACTTACCCTGCGCACACCTATATCTGTATGTTTAGGGGTGGGGCATCTCCTCCTGCAGCCTAATGCATGGAAGCTGATGCCCCAGGGGTGATCATCGGCCAGTGGGGAAGAGGCAGAGCGGTGAATAAGTGCGCTTGGTGCACTGTGTGGGAAGATAGGACCCAAAACGGGAATTACTATAGAGAGGGGCCGGCTGCTGACAGCTGTGTTTTGCAAAGCTAGCTAACCATATGAAGGCAGTGGAGGGGGGATGTGCAAAGGTGAGCTGCAGTCAGGTGTTGCAGAGGTAAGTTGAGTCAGGAGAGTTGCAGACAGGGTGCATAGGTGAGCTGCGGCTGGGAGGTTGCAGAGGTGAGCTGAGTTGCAACCCACCTTTGCATCCCCAGTCTGCAACTCACCCCTTCACCCTGTCTGTGGCTCATATCTGCACCCTCTCTGAAATTCACCTATCAAGTCACCCCTACAACACCTGACTGCAGCTCACAACTGTCATCAACCGGCCTTCTCCATAGTAACCCTCCTCTACAACTTCCTGCAGCTCACCTCTGCACCCCCATCCACTTAAAAAATAAGACCTACCCCAAAAATAAGACCTACTGTGTTTTTTTGAGCCAAACAAAAATATAAGACAGTGTCTTATTTTTGGGGAAACATGGTAGTTCTAATTATCTAGGGGCCCCAATGGATTCCATTAATTTGCAGGGATTTCCTCTCACTTCCAGTTTTGGCTATGGAACAGGAAGTGAAAGTAAAAAACTCCACAAAAAGGACAGAGATGGCAAAACATTACAAAAAAAAAAAAACCCCAACCAAAAACACTTTATCTATAATGCTACTTAACGACATCCCAATTGCTCTATAGCAAATATACTGCTACAGGGGTGTGCAAAATCATGTATATATACATAATTTTGTATTTCCGGGTAGGGGACGTGTGCAAGCCCTACCCGCACCACCATTCGTGGCTGTCAATCGCCGGGTCCCAGCTGGTGATTACCGAGCATCTCCGACAGGGAGGACGACTGCTTTTTTACTAACCGTCCTCCTCCCTGTCAGCTCAGGTACACTGCTGTGGACGGCTGTGCATAGCACAGCCATCCACAGCAGTGCGATTACAGTGAAGCACCAAAAACACCACCCCCCAGTAAAACACTCCCAGCACACAGTTAACCCTTTGATCGGCCTCATGTTAACCCCTTCCTGCCCAGTGCCTTTTTTTTTTAGCATTGATCACTGTATTGATGTCACTGGGGATGTCACTGACACCAAGTCAGTTCCCCCCCAGAATGTCAGAATGCCCACCACAGTCCTGCTATAAGTCGCTGATCGACGCCATTACTAGTAAAAACAAAATTCCAGTATCTAAACTTTAAATTTTTCATTAATTTGCACGTATTGGAATTTTTTTTTTTTTTAAGCAAGACGTCACAGAATACATTTTGTCCTAAATTTATGATGAAATTGTAATTTTTTAATTTTTTTACTGGACATGTTTAACAGCAAAAAGTCAAAAATATTGTTTTTTTTCTTTTAATAGCTCAAAATATAAACACACAGGCGCTCAAATACCACCAAAAAAAGCTTGTGGGGAAAAAAAAAAAAAAAAAGGACAAATTTAATTTGGTTGCAGCTTTGCATGACCGCGCAATTTTCAGTTAAAGTAACGCAATCACCGTAACGCAAAAAATGGCCTGGTCAGGAAGGGGGATATATCCCCAGGAGGGCAAGTGGTTAAAAGAAGTATGGGAATAGTGGGGTTTTTTTTAATTCATACTCTGTCCAATGCTGTATTTGTCCACCACCCCACCCCCCTCCCCCAGCTCTAAGTGTGAAAGATCAACAATCACAAGACTGCCGATTGCCGAGTTCTCACAGCCACTCTGAGCAGAGAGCGGGACTGTTCGTCACCATTCTCTGCTCTGAAATCTCCCCCCCTGCTCTCCATTGAGCACTGTGCTGGGGAGGGGGAGCGGCGGCTGGCTCAGGCTCTCAGCGGATCACTGACAAGCTAAGCCAGGTGCCGCTCCAGACTCTGGGGTGGATCCTGACTTTAAAGTTGGGATTTTTCCCAAGACTGGACCACCTGAGTGACGTCAGCTCAAAAGGGGTTACAGGAGTGCTGAGAGAACTGCACTACTGTGATCCACAGGAGAAGTACAGCCAAAAGAGCTTCTCCTTTAAAGACTTCCTGTGTCCCTCAATGGACAAAACCTACTAAGCTTTATTTTCCCCCATAAACAAAAGCAACAACCATATTTTGTTATGTTAACTTCACCTAAATGTCCGCTTGAAGAATAAAAAGTGTTTATGATGAACAAACAATCATAGCTCAGAAGTAATGTTATGTTTACAAATATGTATTTACAGTAAAAAAAACACTGCATCATAGAAACTGTACAAGATCATTACAATAATCTATATATCTTTAGACTGATCATCTTCTTCTAATTTCTTGATCTCATTTTTCAAACAGTTTATGGTTTCCCGACTGGCCTTCAACCTCTCCTTTAACTCTGATATTTCAAAGCTGGTCTTCTTCTTGGCAGCTTCCACCTTTTCTTTAGTTTTTGTTTCTAATTCTGTAACTAAAAGTTAAAAAAAAAAAAAAAAAAAAAAAAAAGAAAAAATATAAAATGAAAAAATGAAAAGAACTGTGTAAATGGCCTTTTTTATGGCCTGAGTACACTCAGAAGTCCAAATACTTTTATACATTAGGATACTTTTTGCATACTTGGGACTGCACAATGAGTCAAGTGGTTAGTATCTGCTTTTGCTGCTAAGGGGGCCTGAATGTGAATGTTTTCACCATGTCAATGTGGATTTTCTTTCCCATATCCATAATGGTTTAATCACTTGAGAAGCTTGGGTTAGTTTTTTTTTTTTTTTTTTAGAGAAATCAGTGCTCTAACACCAACAGGGCAAAAGATATGCCCACGCAGGGGCCATCAATGGCAATTAAATAACAAAACATAAATATAACACTGATAGTAACTCAGACTAAAGGCAGCTATCCACTGCCACACCAAAGCAAACAAAGAAAAAAAAGGGGGGAAAGGAAGGAGAAGTACAAAGAAAAAGATAGCCAAACCAAGAGCAGGGATCCAAGAACGCCAAAGTCAAACAACATCACATCCCCAGGCTAGCCAGGGGGAGCATGGGAAAAGTATATTGCAACCACGGCTCCCATATTTTCAAGAATTTACATTGGGAATCGTTGCAGATACTCGACATCTGTTTGTTGAGCATCATAGCGGTCATACGGTCCCGCAGCCCCTGAAGAGGGACAAACGGGCTCTTCCAGGCCTGAGCAATTATTTTAGAGGCCGACAAAAACAAATAGGAAGCCAACTTCTGCTGGTGAGCCAAGAGGCCTGGTATGGGGCAATGAAGCAAAGCATACCGAGCATCCCGGCGTATAGAAAGATGGAACAAGGTGAAAAGGAGGCCAAACACACGAGACCAAAAACGAAGTAGCATCGGGCATGACCACCAGATACGCAATACAGCACCACGATGGCCACAACCCCGAAAGCATCGATCAAATTTTTTTTTTTTTTTTTTAGGGCATATCCCCTATGCTCTGTTGTTCACCCCCACTGAAAATACTGGTAATTCCCATCTGTCACTACCAAATGCCCCCCCTAATATCAAGTGCTGGAGATGTAAAGTACATCCACCTTAATATTCTCTGCTCTTTTTAGCACTATTCCCTGTTACTCTGGTACCTGCAAAGACTTCCTAAATCTGATATCTATTTACTTAATAAAAGACATACAACTATGGTCCTGTATAAGCCGTATAGGAGGCCATACATTTTTACATTGCATTAAAAACATCAGCCATCGTATTTAAAGAAAACAAAAAAAATGTTAGCTTGATGTCAGGAACGTTTAATTACAAAGTAAAATGTCACTTACATTCTGTTTCATGTTTATAAGCTCCAAGAGTTAACTGGCGTGACGTGGTCAAGAGTTGCTGCATCATAGCTGTTGGATCTTGGAATATCTAGATACATGACAAACAAGCTGACATTATTATGTGACAGAAATGCAAGTCATTGGCAAGTTACTTTGCAAAGCAGGCTGAATATCTCTTAAGTATAGCAGATATTGCTACTATATATATGGTAGGGGGCGCGCAAACCCTACCCGCGCCGTCATTCGTGGCCGTAAATCACCGGGTCCCAGCTGGTGATTCCCCGCCGGCGCCCTGTGATTACCAAGCATCTCCAACGGGAAGGAGGACTGCTTTGTTTACCAACAGTCCTCCTCCCTGTCAGTTCGGGAACACTGCTCTGGATGGCTGTGCACAGCCATCCACAGCAGTGTGCTTACAGTGAAGCACCAACACACTGCCCCCCAGTAAAACACTCCCAGCACAGTTAACCCTTTGATAGCTCCTAATGTTAACCCCTTCCTGCCCAGTGCCATTAGTACAGTGTCCCTGCTTTTTTTATTTTTAGCAATGATCACTGAATTTGGTGTCACTGGGGATGTCAATGACACCAAGTCAGTTTCCTCCAGTGTCAGAATGCCCACCGCAGTCCCGCCATAAGTTGCTGATCGCCACCATCGCTTGTAAAAAAAAAAAAAAAAAAAAAAAATTCTAGTATCTATACCACCATTTGTAAACGCTGTAATTTTCACGTAAACCAAATTTACATGTATTGGGATTTTTTTTTTTTTTTTTTTTAGCAAAGACGTACCAGAATACATTGATGTAAATTTATGACGAAATTTGATTTTTTAAAAAATTTTTACTGGACGTGTTTAATAGCAAAAGTCAAAAATATTGTTCTTTTCCCCAAAATTGTTGGTCTTTTTTTTATAGCACAAAAAAAAAAAAAAAAAAAACAGCGGAGGTCATCAAATACTACCAAAAGAAAGCTCAATTAGTGGGAAAAAAAGTAAACTTCATTTGGGTCCAGCGTTGCATGACCGCGCAATTGTCACCTAAAGTAACACAGTGCCGTAATGCAAAAAAATGGCCTGGTCAGGAAAGGGGGGTAAATCCTCTGGAGGGCAAGTGGTTAAGTATGTTCTTCACTAACTATACACTGGGATTTTTAATGGTTAAACAAAAAAAATTCTCACCATTTCATCATAGAACTCTGAAACCACAGTCTTCTTTCCTAACATAGCGTTTGTGTCAGACTGAAACAGCTTCAACAAATGATACAAAGTGAGTGACCTGAAACCAATAAACAATTACAAAAATGAGTTATGTCAGAGACAGGTGTGTTTAGAATTAGGACGTCAAGCTAAACTCTGGACACAATACTTTCATTTATATTCCTCAAAAGCCACAAAAGGATTTAAATACACTGTGTACCAAATGCCTTTGTTAACCCAGATATTACCTTGTAAAAGTAGCCGTGACATCATCACTGTGCTACACATAATCTGTGCAGGGACAGGCCCACCCACTACAAGCTGCTAGCAAAAAAAACTACAGGGCAGAGATACAATACTAGTCACCCTGCACAGGGAGAGAGCTGCACTGACTGGTTTTTATTACATGACATGCCAACAGAGGCAAAGTGTAGATGTTGGTTTAAAGTGATATTAAAAGGTTCACTTTTTTTTTGTAAAATAAACACACACGTCTATACTTACTTGCTGTGTGCAGTGGTTTTGCACAAAGCAGCCTGGATCCTCCTCTCTTCTTGGATCCCCCCGCAGGCTCTCCTGGTGCATCCTTTTTTTGTCGGGACCTGCTGCTCCGTGTGTCCATTCACACACGGAGCCATGGCTTGGCCTTGTCCCCTCTCTCTCCTCATTGGCTGACTGGCTGTGATTGACAGCAGCAGAAGCAAATGGCTCCTGCTTCCTGTCTAAGCCAATGAGGAAGAAGAAACCTATGACAGCAGAGCCTGTTGTGAACATCAATGGATCTCGATGGGGCTCAGGTAAGTATTGAGTGGTCTGGAGGCACTACTGCACACAGGTGCTTTACCTTCATACAGCCACTTTTACATTACTGAACAGATTTGGAGGAACTACACAAAGGAAAGCCATTTAGACCATATTTGACACAGAGATATGCTTTAATTTTATGTGCCACTTTTAAATGCAACAGTTGTGTGATCCACATGACATCATAAGGTAGAGTATACCAAAAGGAAAAAAAAAAAAAAAAAAAACACACTCTACAAAAACATATTAAAAGTAGTGCGAAATATTATGTTACAGATGTGAATATTTTACTCTGTGGTGCTCTTTCATGGTACAGGAACAGCAACGAAAAAAAAAAAAAAAAAAAAATCATATTCATAGGTGTACCACTGTGCCCCTGCTATTAAACTGCTGAACCTTTTTCTTTTGGTGCTAAAGGCAGTTTACTGGCATATTTCTGCCCCCTTCCCTAAACAACTGTCAGATTTAGCCAAGTCTTTGACACATTTTACTGTTGTTCTAATCGTGTAGACTCACAGTAGCTCCTCTATTTTGGATCCTGCAGAAGACATCCACCTGCTCAAAGTGGAACTACATTGTATGCAGGGGCAGACTGACAACTCATTGGGCCCCTGTTTCCTTGCCCAAACTCAAAAAAGCCTATGGGGCCCCCTACTGACCCCGAACCCTCGGGCAGTGCCCAAATTTCCAAATGGTCAGTCCGCCCCTGATTGTATGTGAGCACCACAAAAATACTATTTAATTCAGTTTTAATATTCAAAGTAAACTCCCCCATCTATCCATGTCTCTATGTTTTATTTTGCTGAGACCACTTTGAAAAACACCCCCCCTAGCATTTCTGACCTTGGGCACTTTGATTAAGAGCAGATGAATCATGTAGCAGTTACTTCCTGGAATCCATCTGCCCTTAGCTCAGGCATGCAGACAAGAAAGTGTACTTGGCTAAGAAAAACCCTCCCTCCCTCCACGAGACCTCTGGGATGTATGGCATCATTTGCCTAGGCAAGAAACCAGGAAGTAATTGAAGAAATGTGAATAAAACCAGTAAATGATATACACACTCCTATAATTACTAATGCTAGCAGCATAAGAATTAAAAATAGTCAATGCTTGAGCCCATGGAGGTATATTGACCAGTGTTGTCTCCATCATGGTTTTTAGCAAACAGGTGAGGAAGGGGATCAGATCAAAGCTTTATACTATATTATATCCTCACAATCAAGCGCAGGGGATTTAAGCCTATGGCAAATGCAAAAATGGGCAGATCAACAGGATGAACGTGCTCAGAGAGGAAGGGTTCCACAGCCCCAAAGTGCACAAAATGACACAAGGATTGTGTAACTCCCCTATACAGCAAGACAAAAACTTCCATTTACTAGGATTTATTCTGTATTCGAGTCCTAAGAATCTGGCTCCTGTCCTGTCCAGTGCATGTGTGATTAAAAGAAATATTCTACGTGGACCTTTTCTGCCCAACAGGAAATTCATGTTTCTTTTTTCAGAGAAAAATAAGCGAATAAAGTGTACTTACTGGTCTTTCATTTGGGTCGATGAAAAAATATTTTTATGATAATTTCAAATTCACCCCACCCAGTTTCTGTAATTTCATAAGGAGGCTTGGTAACAACTAAAAAAGAAAAAAAAGGGAAGACTGATGTACTGCAGTAAAAGCTTCTCACAGAAAAAAAAAAAAACAAACAAACATGAAAAATACCTCTCAGGGGATTTCCATAACTTTCGTGCAACTTAAACTGAATTTTCTTAACATAAGCAGACATGTCCTGAAAACAGAATCAAAGAACAGGATATTACCTTTAGCATAACACAATATACTAATATTTTTTTTGAGAGGAATACAGAGTATTGTGCCCAACTATATAAACATTCTATTTTGTGTTTCTTTGTTTTTAAATGTTTGTCAATATAATAAAAATCAGAACGTGTTAATAAAAATACTACATTAAGGACCCAGTCACGTTTTTAATGCTCTCTTCCCACCAAATTTCACCACACTTCCTGAATAGAGGCATAACAGGACCCATACGGAAATATCCCCATAGTGAAGAAAAAGAGGGGGGGGGGGGGGGGGAAGTAGATGTACATGGATGACTCTATTATGTATTATACAAATGTCATATCTTATCTTTCTGGCTGCCAAATCATAGCTTTTCATCAGGCTCTGACCCTTAGGTTGCAAGCATAGGGATCTTAAAACATGTGGTTTATACAGGAGTGCAGCGGTTTTTGGGCTTTTTTTTATGCCACCTCTATGTTAGCCTATGTGGCAATGCACACATAGGCGTTTACAAAAATATTTGGAGAGCAGAAACAAAAACAGAAAAAAAAAAAAAAAAAAAAACACACCACAGGTGAGTTCTAAGGCTACGTTCACACTAGCGTTGTGTGCAGGCGGCAGAAAGGCATTTGGGAAGCGTTTTTACCACTTCCCAAACGCCTCTGACAATTCTGCACATTGCATTGCAGCACACATAGTGCTGTTCTAACAGGAGAGTTAGCGTCGCGGCAAAACGGACGCCTCTGGCCGAGTCAGGAGACGTTGAAGCCTCCTATTCTAGTCTATGGTGCCGCTCCGCAAACGCCCGGCCAGCGTTTGCGGTGCGGTTGCGGAGCGGTAACACCATTCAAACTTCATTATAGGCATTTGTGGGGCGTTTTTAACACTCGGCAAATGCCTAGCAACCTCCGCTAAACCGCGCATGTGGCGTCTGCGGAGCATTTGGCGAGCTTTAAAAAACGCTCCGCAAACGCCGGACCAACGCTTGCCAAACGCTATAGGGGCATTTGGCAAGCGTTGGTAAAACAGTCAAGTGTGAACGAGCCCTAAGAGCAGTTTTGAACTGAAAAAAAAGCGGATGCGCATGTAAATATATTCCAGTGGCCAGGATAAATGAATATGCATTTACGCTCACATGTTATTCGCACATACATCATGTAACATTAAAGGTGTTTTTTCTGCCATTTTCATAATACTGTGTGCATGAGGCTTTAAAAATACTTTAAAATGCTCTCATAGTGCAGGTTGCTAACATCTTCCAAAGATGGTTGCAAAAATGATTATTTTCCTGTCATTCATTTTAAAAATGGGAACCGTATGGCATGCTGGAACCATGACTCCCTTTCACAACCAGGCAAGGCACATGAGTTGATGCACATGCTGAAACCAACCCCAGCTTTGCCAATATCACATATGCATCTGGTAAACATTCACTATAAAATAATGGGAAGACCAAGGAATGATTATACTCCTATGACCGCTCTGTAACCAGAACACTAACAACCATCTCTGGTTGATCCACTTATTTGTTGGCTAAAATTTACTTTTCGAAGACTGCTATTGGTCATATGATTGCCTAGTGACAGTAAGTAATAAGACAGTTGTATACTGTATAACTATACAAGTATATCACTATATACAGTTATATACTTATGGTTGCATTTTTAAAGCAGTATTAAACACAAAACCAAAATATTGCTGCTTGCCAGTCATTAGATGTGGTGGCTGCATTCGTTTTCTTTAGGCTTTTTTCCCCCCTCTGTTTTCACCTGAAGATCAGGCTAGTAACACACTTCCTAGTTACAGTGCCCCCACTCTGAAGGAAGATGCACAGGGGACACCTTTGGACAGCAGCACTGTCAGCCTGAAAAAAAAAGGGGGGGGGGGGGGGGGGGAGTGCTAGATGTACTGTCAAATTTAGGTACTCTTAAACTGAAGCCAAACTTTTTTTTTTCCCTTTTTGGACAAAGGTTTTACATGAATAAATATAAGTGGATCATTGCAAGCCCCCCTGCCAGTGGTAAGTCTCTACACTGCTACATTTGCAGGACAGCGTGCTCTGTTGAAAAATGACAGACTTTCTGGCAGGATCACCAGGTGAAAATAAAAGCTAAAAGAGAAAACTAATGTAACCACCACATATAAGATTTGGTAAGCTGCAATATAATACATTTTTGTTTTGGGGTTTAATACCACTTTAAAGTCAGTGTTAGAAATGAGAAGAGAGCGTTGCAGAGCAGTGTTCACTTGTGTTTCATGTTACTTCTTCATCATGCTGCTTTCACGGTTATCATTTCATGTAAATCAATATGAATACATGGTAAGCTAACCAGAAACTGACTTCTGAAGCTTGTTGCATTCCACTTTTAGCATGTGTATACAATCTCTCAGTCTGGACCTATATGTAATGATACAGTCATTTGATGCAACAATATTTTCAATAAAAGAAAAAAAAAAAAAATTGTATCCTTCTGCAACCAAATGCAGTATGGCCAGTTTGATCGCTGGTCCATTCTTTGGGATGTGCTTTTCCAATGGTGTCTTTTAACACCACTGCGTTGTAATAGTGTGCACTGAAAAAAGTACTACATTCAGTACTTTTTTGGGAGGGGTTTTTTTGAGCAGTCGGCTGGGACAGATACCACCGCATCCAAACACTGCTTCATAAATAGATCTTAAAATGCAACTTTAGAAAAAAAAAATTGGCAAATTTGGCAGAATTTTTAACACAGAAGAGACATATTGGGGAGAGATTTTCGAAAAATGGAGAGTGCAAAATCTGGTGCAGCTCTGAATAGAAATCAATTAGCTTCCAGGTTTTCTTGTCAAAGCTTAACTGAACAAGTTAGAAGCAGATTGGCTGCCATAAACAGCTGCACTAGATTCTGAGTGCACCAGTTTTAGTAAATCTCCCCCAATATGTCTTCTGCGTTACCTGCCTGTCTGAACTGTATACTGAGCAGCGGAGTGTATAATTTTGGCACTGCTGACATGAATGTACATGATGGGGAGTGACGTCATCTCAGAACAATCACTGAAAATGTCAGCGGCCGGCAGGAAGCTCTGCAACACTGCAGTGAAACGGAGTATAAAATCACAAAAAGTGTCAGCTTTCCATACAGTAAACAATATTACCTCATTACGATATGGTTTGACATAAACAGTCCACTGGTGAGTATGGCCATCTTCTTCTCTTTTTCTTACCAAAATACCGTGCCACATTTCCATAGACTATAGGTTTCACAATTGTAACTCCCTAAAAAATATATAAACATATTACAACAGAGCACATCAGCTACTTCACAAGAAAACAGATAAAAAAATAGCTGCAAAGACAATACCTGGGGCATGCCTTTCCCTAAAATCACTCCATGACATCAATATCGTCAGCTTGCTATGGGGGCACCCAAGCAGATGTATTTCTAAGCTGCTGCTCCATGTATCCATTCACACACGGAGTCGTGGCTTGACCCCTATCTCCCATTGGAAGACTGGCTGTGATCGACAGCAGCGGGAACCAATGACTCCCACCTGCTGTCTCAGCCAATGAGGAGGCAGAGACACAGGACAGGCAAGGCTGTCATGCATGTCAATGGATCGCAATGGGGCTCAGATAATTATTGAGGGGGCTGGGGGCACTGCTGCACACAGGTTTTTTACTTTCATGCATAGAATGCATGAAGGTAAAAACCTTCAGCCTTTACAACCACTTTAACTGCCCCCCACAGAGTTCCCCCTTACATTAGGTGCCCTCTTCAGAGTGCTCCCTTACGTTAGATATCCCCATCAAAGCACCTCTTACATCAGTTGTTACCATTAGAGAACTTCCCCTTACATCAGTTGTCCCCATTACAGCACCCCTTACATTGGCTATCACCATTAGAGCACCTCTGTACATCAGTTGTCACTAGGGTTGCACTGGTACTGGGTTTTTTTTAATCAGCGATTATGAGTACAGATACGTTTAGTCAAGGACTCGCTGATACTGAGTACAGATACTTTTTGATGCGCTTTGCATTAATGGACGCAATTTACACCACAAAGATTAGCATGCAATTTGAACAGGAATGGTATTTCTGTCCAAATCACATACAGTTTCCCCACTGCTCCTGTGTGAACCCAGGCTTGTTGGCAAATCTCCCTGTAAGCATCCCATGCCCAGTGTCATCGATTCCTTGCAGCAGCGACAATTGTGGCGACATGGCATCTGATCGGTCAGCTGTTGACCAATCAGATGCATGGGATGCCTGCAGGGAGGTCTCCTGCACCACCCGTGTGAACTCAGGCTATGACAAGACATGGTTCACACAGGAGCATAGGGGAAACCACATGCAATTTAGACAGGAATCACATTCCTGTTCAAAACACATGCTAATCTTTGCAGTGCAATTTGTGTCCATTAACAAAAATTGCACTGCAAAGTATCAGTTAAAGTAATGTTAGTATTCTCACGAGTACGAATGCTCATAAAAATACTCTGTATAGGTGCATCCCTAGTTGTCACCAGTACGGAGCTTCCCCCTTAGAGCGCCTCCATACGTTCGTTATCACCATTAGAGAGCTTCCCCTTACATTATTTGTTCCCATTAAAGAGCCTCCATATGTCAGTTGTCACCATTAGAGAGCTTCCCCTTACATTAGTTGTCCCCATTAAAGAGCCTCCGTATGTCAGTTGTCACCATTAGAGAGCTTCCCCTTACATTATTTGTTCCCATTAAAGAGCCTCCATATGTCAGTTGTCACCATTAGAGAGCTTCACCTTACATTAGTTGTCTCCAGTTTGTCACCATTAGAGAGCTTCCCCTTACATTAGTTGTCCCCATTAAAGAGCCTCCATATGTCAGTTGTCACCATTAGAGAGCTTCCCGTTACATTAGTTGTCTAAATGCATCAGTTGTCACTCTTCTAGCTTCCTCTTACATTAGTTGTCCCCATTAGAGAGCCTCCATACGTCAGTTGTCACCATAGAGAGCTTCCCCTTACATTAGTTGTCCCCATTAGAGAGCCTCCCATACGTCAGTTGTCACCAATAGAGAGCTTCCCCTTACATTAGTTGTCCCCATTAGAGAGCCTCCATACGTCAGTTGTCACCATTAGAGAGCTTCACCTTACATTAGTTGTCTCCCATATGTCAGTTGTCACCATTAGAGAGCTTCCCCTTACATTAGTTGTCCCCATTAAAGAGCCTCCATATGTCAGTTGTCACCATTAGAGAGCTTCCCGTTTACATTAGTTGTCTAAATGCATCAGTTGTCACTCTTCTAGCTTCCTCTTACATTAGTTGTCCCCATTAGAGAGCCTCCATACGTCAGTTGTCACCAATAGAGAGCTTCCCCTTACATTAGTTGTCCCCATTAGAGAGCCTCCATACGTCAGTTGTCACCAATAGAGAGCTTCCCCTTACATTAGTTGTCCCCATTAGAGAGCCTCCATACGTCAGTTGTCACCATTAGAGAGCTTCCCCTTACATTAGTTGTCCCCATTAGAGAGCCTCCATACGTCAGTTGTCCACCATTAGAGAGCTTCTCCTTACATTAGTTGTCCCCATTAGAGAGCCTCCATACGTCAGTTGTCACCATTAGAGAGCTTCCCCTTACATCAGTTGACTCCATTAGAGCCCCTTCATACGTCATTTGTCCCCATCACAGTGCCTCCTTACAAAGATTACATCATTAGTCTGGCTGAAAAAAAGAAAAGTCCATCCAGTTCAACCAAAAAAAAAAAAAAAATAAAGTTATAATCCTATACCCACAGTTGATCCAGAGGAAGGCAAAAAAAAACCCCAGCAAAGCATGATTCAATTTGCTCCTGAAGGGGAAAAAATCCTTCCTGATCCCCCAAGAGGCAATCAGATATTCCCTGGATCAACGTTACCTATAAATGTTAGTATCCAGTTATATTCTATGTATCGAAGAAAGAATCCAGGCCTTTTTTGAAGCAATCCACTGAGCTGGCCAGAACCAACTCTTGAAGGAGTCTATTCCACATTTTCACAGCTCTGACTGTGAAGAAACCTTCCCATGTTTAGAGATTATATTTCTTTTCCTCTAGACATAAAGAGTGCCCCCTTGTCCTCTGTGATGACCTCAGGGTGAATAGCTCTACACCGAGTTCACTATATGGAACCACTGATGTATTTATACATGTTGATCATATCCCCCTTAATCTCCTCTTCTCAAGAGAAAATAAATTCAGTTCCTCTAATCTTTCCTCATAGCTGAGCTCCTCCATGCCTCTTATCAGTTTGGTTGCCCTTCTCTGTACTTTCTCCAGTTCCCCAATGTTATTTTTGTGAATTGGTGCCCAAAACTGAGCTGCATATTCCAGATGAGGTGTTACTAATGATTTGTACAGGGGTAATATGAGATCTCTCTCATTGTCCCCATCAGTGTATCTTCTTACAACTGTCTCCAACAGACCTGCTCAGAGATCAATGGATGCACTCTTAAAGTGGAGCTCCACCCAAAAGGGGAAGTTCTGCTTTAAGGACTGATCCCCTACTCCCCATTAAGGATTGGAACCTTTGGGGGGCCGGTACCCACCTAGGCGATCAGAAGTGGAAGGTGTCCTCCCTCCCTGTAGTCATTTGAGACATGTGACAGGTCCCAGAAGACTACAGGACCATTCACGAAGCGCAGTGCTACTCACACATGCGCAGTGGGTACCCAGGTGTGAAGCCGCAAGCTATCACAGCCGGGTGCCCACACAGAAGATGCCAGCCTCCTGGAATACAGGACGGCCGGTGGAACGGGCTGCGGGGAGGACACCAGGGGACCGAGGGACAGGTAAGTGGATGTTTTTTAAAAGTCAGCAGCTACAGTTTTTGTATCTGCTGACATTTATTTTTTTGACAGAGTGAGTGGAACTCCACTTTAAAGACCTTAAGGGGGAGGGGCATGACTAAAACCTGGGGGGCAGCCCCCCCCCCCCAATGGCAGGATCACCAGGTGAAGAGAAGAACCGAAATGCAGGCAGCACAGTAAAGCCTGTCATGGTGCAGAGGTGCCATACTTGATATGACAACACATGGGAGGTCCCTGTACCTCGGGCACAATGCTCAGGAGGTAGTAGAATGGCCGGGACTGTCCCTGTGCTGGGAACTCCTCACACAAATCGGGATAAAACCTAAACGGTCCGGGTCCATACTAGGCAGAGCCCACAGACGAGGCCCACACACAAAGCCCTGCAGGAGCACAGGGCGCCCACCGCGGACGGCTACACACAGAGCTCCCCAGCCCCTCACCTTCACTCTCCCTCCGGAGTCCGGGCCGAATTCAGCCATCCTCTTGAACATATTGCAGCGGGAGGCGGCCGGGGAGGGGCAGGCGCAGCTCACACAGGAGCCAGCGCCTCTCGCAGCAGCCAACTACCAGACAAAGCCGGGTGGATAGCGGGCAGCGCACACAGTGTGCGGGCAATTTCAGCGGCACAAACGGACGGCGATGTCCTGCGACAAACCTTCCGCCGCAATCGGCGCCCTCCTATTCTATTGTCACAATGGTACGATCCAGGCAAACCCACCAACCCCTCCTCACCACAGCGAGGCCGCGTGGAGAAGAGGCGGGGGCGGAGCCTGATGGTGAACAGATTACAATAAGCAATGCAAGAAGGCTGGGGGCGGTTCAATGGGCGGAGTCCGCAGCTTGGAGTTAGGCTTGTGTACTTGGATGAGTGTGCTCTGCTGTTGATAGTTGACTTCAGTAGGGGCTTGGAGATTGGTGCAGTGTTCACCTGTAATCGGGGTTCTGTGATCAGTGTTCACCTGTAATCGGGGTTCTGTGATCCGTGTTCACCTGTAATCGGTGTTCAGTTTTCACCTGTAATCGGGGTTCAGTGATCAGTGTTCACCTGTAATCGGGGTTCTGTGATCAGTGTTCACCTGTAATCGGTGTTCAGTGTTCACCTGTAATCGGGGTTCAGTGACCAGTGTTCACCTGTAATCGGGGTTCTGTGATCAGTGTTCACCTGTAATCGGTGTTCAGTGTTCACCTGTAATCGGGGTTCAGTGACCAGTGTTCACCTGTAATCGGGGTTCTGTGATCAGTGTTCACCTGTAATCGGGGTTCAGTGATCAGTGTTCACCTGTAATCGGGGTTCTGTGATCAGTGTTCACCTGTAATCGGGGTTCTTTGATCAGTGTTCACCTGTAATCGGTGTTCTGTGTTCAGTGTTCACATGTAATCGGGGTTCTGTGATCAGTGTTCACATGTAATCGGTGTTCACCTGTAATCGGGGTTCTGTGATCAGTGTTCACATGTAATCGGTGTTCACCTGTAATCGGGGTTCTGTGATCAGTGTTCACATGTAATCGGTGTTCACCTGTAATTGGGGTTCTGTGATCAGTGTTCACATGTAATCGGTGTTCACCTGTAATCGGGGTTGTGATCAGTGTTCACCTGTAATCGGTGTTCACCTGTAATCGGGGTTCTGTGATCACATGTAATCAGTGTTCACCTGTAATCGGGGTTCTGTGATCAGTGTTCACATGTAATCAGTGTTCACCTGTAATCGGGGTTCTGTGATCAGTGTTCACCTGTAATTGGGGTTCTCTGATCAGTGTTCACCTGTAATCGGGGTTTTGTGATCATTGTTCACCTGTAATCAGTGTTCTCTGATCAGTGTTCACCTGTAATCAGTGTTCTCTGATCAGTGTTCACCTGTAATCCGTGTTCTCTGATCCGTGTTCACGTGTAATCCGTGTTCTCTGATCCGTGTTCACCTGTAATCGGGGTTCTGTGATCAGTGTTCACCTGTAATCGGGGTTTTGTGATCAGTGTTCACCTGTAATCGGGGTTTTGTGATCAGTGTTCACCTGTAATCAGTGTTCTCTGATCAGTGTTCACCTGTATTCAGTGTTCTCTGATCCGTGTTCACCTGTAATCGGGGTTCTGTGATCGTTGTTCACCTGTAATCGGGGTTCCGTGATCATTGTTCACCTGTAATCGGGGTTCTGTGATCAGTGTTCACCTGTAATCAGGGTTCTGTGATCAGTGTTCACCTGTAATCAGTGTTCACCTGTAATCAGGGTTCTGGTTCTGTGATCAGTGTTCACCTGTAATCGGGGTTCTGTGATCATTGTTCACCTGTAATCAGTGTTCACCTGTAATCAAGGTTCTGTGATCAGTGTTCACCTGTGATCAGTGTTCACCTGTAATCGGGGTTCTGTGATCAGTGTTCACCTGTAATCTGGGTTCTCTGATTGGTGTTCACCTGTAATCAGTGTTCACCTGTAATCAGTCTTCTCTGATTGATGTTCACCTGTAATCAGTGTTCACCTGTAATCAGTCTTCTCTGATGTTCACCTGTAATCAGTGATTAGTGTTCACCTCTAATCTGTGTTCAGCGATCAGTGTTCGCATGTGATTGGTGTTCAGTTATCAGTGTTCACCTGTAATCGGGGTTCTGTGATTCGGGTTCTGTGATCGGTGTTCACCTATAATTGGTGTTCTGTGATCGGTGTTCACCTGTAATTGGTGTTCTGTGATCGGTGTTCACCTGTAATTGGTGTTCTGTGATCGGTGTTCACCTGTAATTGGTGTTCTGTGATCGGTGTTCACCTGTAAACGGGGTTCTGTGATCGGTGTTCACCTGTAAACGGGGTTCTGTGATCGGTGTTCACCTGTAATCGGGGTTCTGTGATCAGTGTTCACCTGTAATCAGAATTTTGTTACCATTTTACAATTAAAATCAGTGCTGCTCTTGCAGTGCATCATTTTTTTTTTTATGTAGTTGATTCCTTCCTAAACATTTAGAGTGAATATCTCAGTAGTCAAATACGATAAATCGTCTTGCATTATCATGTCCAGCCGGATTAATGTAGAACTATAGACAAAGCAGGGTTTTTTCATTAATGCTAGAATAAGGGAGGGTTATAACCATCTGTGTCCCATTAGGGAGATTTACCTTCACTTCCTGTCCCATGACCAAAACAGGAAGTGAGGAAATCCCTGCAAATTAAGGGAATTCTTTGGGGCCTCCAAGTCGCCAGAACTAGTGTCCCCATTGGAAGATTTCCCCTCTATTACTGTCCTGGGGACAACCCAAAGTGTAGGATTTTCTTTTACATTGGATAATGAGGGTAAACAGGACAAAGATAGAGGGTGAAAATCCCTTATGGGGGCAGAAACAGCAATAAAAACCTGACAGGTATTTTAATCCATCTCTGTTCTGTCTAAAACATAAAAATAAGTTTTGCTTTAGTTACACGTTAAAGTGGTTCTAAAGCCTAAACATATGTCATCTTCACACATTCTTTTCATTTTAGGTGTAGAACTACCCCTTAGGAGTTGCCGAGTTCTGGGTCCCCCCTATGGAACTGCACAGCCAGTCAACACACATTTTCTTCAGACCTTGCACACAGGAGACATCAAACAGTCCTTGAGCTTGTTTTTTTGTTTGGTTTTATTAGGGGTATTGAACTTGGATGGGGTTGAGGGGTGTATGGGATGCCCAAGGAAACTGCAACTGAAGACAAACTCCTTAGCAACTATGTACAAGTCCATAAACGGCAAAGTCTCTTCACTCCTCTGTGACGATCGCAGCATCAGACCCCAGCCCTTCTCACCAAACTCGTGACCGAAAGGACTAGCCAATCTAAAACTGCGCTGTCACGTGCGTAACAATGCCACGCCCAGCTGCACCCTGCACAAAGATTTTCCAGCTAATGGACCACAACCTGTGTGCTGGGAGCGATTGTTACTGGGTCAGGTTAATTACGCAATTAACCCTTCACACTGCCACCACCTCCTTTTTGTACAGAGAAAGAGGAAACTTGGCAATATCAGCAATAACACTATGACGTTTGAATAATCATATGTATACATAATGTCACTGCAGACAGATGTATGCAGACATTTAAAACACACAGTAGCGTTCTTCAGAGACAGGGGTGCTTTAGTTTGCATTAAAGAGCTGTAGAAACAGTTCAACACTTTCAGAAAGTAAGATTTATTCCTAAAAGGTCAAAAGGGTGCAATACAAAATATTTACAGAAAAAGATGTATCATATATATATATATATATATATATATATATAATATAAATATACAGAAAACAATAGCACCACAAAGGCATAACAGAAAGGAGTTTAGAGGGTTAAAGTACCTGCCAAATGTCCTGGTTTAAGCAGATCATGTTTCATGAGCCAAAAGGATGCCTTATCTCCCAACCTTAGATCCGATGTTAAAAAGGGAGAACCTCAACTTTTTTTTGCTCAGTTTTTTCTAGCAACTCCACAGGGTCTCTCCCTGAAACAGAGAACCAATCGCCTCATTTGGGGAGGGAGTTGTAGGTGGAGACCTCAGGCTATGACCAAAGCCTGCACAAATCATATTATGGTTCATAACTTACCCTGGATACATATAACATGCTATACACAAGTAGATTAGTACGCAGAATCTTCTGATGAACGGTTAGTTATGAAATATCCGCTTGAATGGTTATGGAGATATATTTTCTGCTCTCCTGTATATGCCAGATAGGGGGTGTGGTATACCAGGAGACTTGTCTTAAAGTCAGCCATCCAAATATGTGCTCCATGTTTATGTAATTATGTCCTATTTGAAAATATAAACTTATATGAAAAAGTGAGTTTTTAAATGTAAGTCTGTTTTTACAACTCCCTGGAATGCCTTTGAGCTTAGTGAAGGACTTGGTTTATTGCTTGACGAGCCCTTCGCTAGAAAGAGTTTGGTAGACGGAGGGGCACCAGATAGTGTGTGATTTATAACCGTGACGCCCTCCCAATGAGTTTGCTGCCTGTTATCTGCATCAAACAGACCACATGTCACTCAACAGAGAGGGAGGGGGGATGAGGAAAGCTGATTTGGGAGTAGAACATCCGAGAAGATGGAAGACCCTTAAAAAGATGGAGGACTGCGTCCATCTCTGTATGCATGATTGCTACATCCTCCAGCCCTGCAAGGGTACCACCTCAGACCCTAGATGAATCCTCCTCTTCACCCAACTACGTTAGGGAATCTCTGAGCAAAGGGCTCAGAATCTGTTGCTTTAAATGCACAATCCCAGATGGGGGCTAGTCAGGTTTCCCACCAGAAAGCCCTTTTCCCCTTATCTGGCCCAGGGGGAGTAGGATTACTCCCTATTCCTCTCCTGCAGGCTTGTTGGGTTGGTGTCTGCCTTCGGGCCTTCTGCTGGGCCAGCTTCTTTCCTGGCTCCACAGGTAGTCCTCTCTCTGGGGAACGGTGAGGTTAAGTGATCCTCCCTTTCAGGTCCCAGCCTGTAGATAGGCCCTTTTCCACTGGGCCCCCTCCCAGACTCCTGCATCTCAGCCTC